GCCCAGTGGGAGCTTGGAGCAGCTGCGGTCCCGGCCGTGCCGGCGTGAGGGCCTGGGACAGGGATCCCCGCGAGCGAGAAGGGAGACCTAGAGCCAGGGTAGGCTCTCCCGAATGTCCCTGCCACGGGAGGGACCGCCTGTGGCTTCCCGGGGTGTGACTTCAGATGCTTGGAGGCCAGGCTGACAGCTGTCCAAAACCTGTTTGCTCTCCCTGAAGTGTCTGTTTAGGTTTTTCAGCTTCTCTTGCCAAACTTAGAAGCATTGTGTTTTGAAACTTGTATCGCTGTTTGAAACAGGACTTGAGCTGCCTCAAATCCTGCATGCCAGAGTAACAAAGTCAGCTCTCTCCTGTTACACCTGAGTGCTGTGTGTTCTGTGCATCACGGCCTGTGAAGCAGCAGCAAGCATCCCTTATTTCAAGGCATCTATGAGCATTCTGCCATTAAGCTGCAGTGTAGCTTCATCTTGCTTCTTCCTGTAACTGCTGTAGGCCTGAACCTTTTATTCTTATGTTTACAGTGCACCAGGTTCTCAGAAGAGCCTCATGGTGCTCCTTCTGCAGAATACTCTGTACCAGCATAGTCAACTTGTGGTCTGGCAGGACAGTTCACTGAGAGTGGTCCTGGAGGGTCCTCACAACAAGGCCAGATGAATTGTTCTGGAAGCATAATCCTGATGCCTTTTTTTCCCTGGAGCTTAGTGGTTCTTCCCCAGCTGCAGTAGGTTCACTGCACGGCATGTCCGTCCTGCTGCCTGTTCTCCAGGAAAGGAGGTTGCTAGGACCAGGCTGTATGAATTCTCCATGGTAGTCAGTAGTTTCTTTTGTGTCTGCCCTTGAGTTGTTCTCAGAATGAAGTCTCTGAAATAGGCTTCATGGGCTGGCAGCCCAGTCTGGAGCAGTACTTTCTCCAAGGAGCAACTAGAAAAGTGCCTGTGTGTGTCTATACACAGGTAGAAGTTACCTGTACTAGGTACCTACATACAGGTGCTGTCTTATTCCTGCAGTGTGTACAAGGCTTGTGTGCAAGGGATTGCATAGTAAGCCTTAGGATGTTAGGGACAGTGCTTCCTCACAGGGGATGTCAGTGGCTCTGTGATGGAAGAGTTACGGGCTCCAGCCTTCTGTTGCCATTAGAACAGGCTGCTTGGTCTGCATCACCTTTCTGGCTGTTTCTCTGTTTCAGCACTATGTGTTGGGAATGATTTCTGCGTCCTGTAGCAGAGGAAACCAAGCCTTAGTTTTCTACCTTCTGGGTACATTCAACAATTAGGTTAATGTATGAGAAAGGTGCATTGCCTCCATACCTTTTACCGGTTTCTTAGAACCAAGTCTCTACACGTGTATTTGAGAGCCTCTGCACACAGCCTGAAGCTGTCTTAAAGATATTTTAAAGTACTAATATGCTATGGGAATTAAAATACATAGGTGTGCATAGTTAACTTCAAGCAAGAATGAGCTCACTCTGCCCACTGCCAGGCTGGTAACTCTGGCATGGTGCCACACTAGTGTCTCTGTTGGTCAGCATCGAGCCGCAGCATGGGCAGAAAGCTCACTTTTGCTTGTGGTCAGGTATCGGAATCTAGCAGCCCATCTTCCTTCCCTCCCTTCCCTTCTGAAGCTTACGTGCCTTTAAAGTGATCTCATATTAAAGAATCATAGAATGGTTAGGGTCGGAATGGACCTTAAGATCATCTAGTTCCAACCTCCCTGCCATGTGGAGGGATAACTTACACTAAACCATGTCCCCCAAGGCTCTGTCCAACCTGGCCTTGAACACCACCAGGGATGGAGCATTCACAACTTCCTTGGGCAACCCATTCCAGTGCCTCACCACCCTCACCGTGAAGAACTTCTTCCTTATATCTAACCTAAACTTCCCCTGTTTAAGTTTGAACCCATTACCCCTATCACTACACTGATACAGTGTCCTATCACTACATAGATATATTAGAAAAGTATCAGTTATTTCATATATATTTCTCATTGCTGTTGTTAAAATCCCTCAGAGCATCAGTGGTATCTTGCCACCTATTAGTTCCTGTCTTCAAATGTGATGTTTCATCTAAGTGGAATTTTGGTAGGTGAAGAAAATAATTATGGTCAAATTTGTGGCTGTTGTGATGTTTTCCAGGAACAGTAAGGGATGGCTCTTCTCAGAAAGAACATGTGCAGTGCTACTGAAATACTTAAATAGCAGAAAACAGACTTAAAACACCACTAGCCATTTGCATTGGTTATACTTTAAGAGCCACTTCGCTTTTTGACTTGTCTCTTTGAGAACTGAGCAATGCAAATGATAGCTAGGAATGGCACAAGAGGGGACTGCAATTGAGCAAGCCTGGTTGTCAGTACTTGTGAGCAAAACCAATTTGTGAGGGCACCTATTCCTGGTCCCACAGAATGGTTGAGGTTGGAAGGGAACTCTGGGGACCATCTGGTCCAAACCCCTGCTCAAGCAGGGCCACTTAGAGCTGGTTGCCCAGGACCACCTCCAGACAGCTTTTGAGTCTCCCAAGGAGGGAGACTCCACAAGCTTCCTGGGCAACTTGTGCCAGTGCTTGGCCACCCTCACAGTAAAAAAGTGTTTCCTCATGTTCAGATGGACCCTGCCGCATTTCAGTTTGTGCCCATTGCCTCTGGTCCTGTCACTGGGCACCACTGAAAAGAGCCTGGCTCTGGCCGTCTTCTTCACACCCTTCCTTCAGTTATCTGTACACAGGTATCTGTAAATAAGAAAGTGTTTCAGAGCCCTGGCCTAGGGCTTCAAACATGACTAGTCTGTGGGCAGTGCTAGTTCATGTCTCGCTGGGTTCTGTGCTTTGCTGCAGGCCAGCACTGGTCATCCTGGGGAAGGCAAGTGAAAAGGTGAGCAGAGCTGTGCATCCAGCAGAGAGAAGGGAGAACATTCCTTATGGCACGTTTGGGTAACCAGCAAATGCTCTGATGCCTGAAAGTAATAAATACAGTGCCATAAATACATGGTAGTCAGCTCTTCCACAGCACTGACTCAGCAGATTGAACATCAAGACCCTGGTAATGCAAGAGTTGGTTGTAATTTTCAGATTATTCCTTTTCTGTTGTGCAGCTTCTTCCATAGATCCGAGTGCAACTTTTAAAACAGACGAGTTTCTTGCCTCTGTTATTATAGGCGGTAGTTTTAGGAATTTGCTGTGCTGCTAGACATATTCTAAATTCAAGTTTCATTCACATAGCTAAGAGAAAATTCAGCTACATTTAGCTACAGCCTGAAACTTGCCTCTCCTAAACAGACAGTAGGAAGTTTGCATGTTTGTCATATATTGCTAGATAAACAATTTATAAAGTTGTTGTTCCTGAAGCTTTGGAAACCATTAATCAAGGGAAATTTATTTTATGGATCATATCAAGTAAATCGTAATCCATTATATTTATCTAAATAATGCTGTTTACTTGGCATATGCATAGGTTTCATTTTAAAAAGTGAACAAAAACATTGCAGGGTTTGAATGTTCAGTCAGAAAATGTGATAGTAAGGTTAAAACCCATCTTCTTTGCCTGGTCCATCATTTCAGTTTTCATCTGTATCAGTTAGAATCTGCTAAAGAAAGTTATATCCTTGCAGTGGTAATAATGCTTGAATTACTCAACTTCTGCATGTGAAAAATCTTCTGTGAGGGTTTACTGTAGGTTAAACTTGGACCATTTTGGTCAAGTGCAAAACCACCTCTTTGTGTTAAAACAAATTCTGTTGCTCTTAAGCATTCCAACTGAACAAAAAGGCATACTATTAGAAATACTTGAAAGAAGCAGTGGTAGTGGGTTTGTGAAGAGAGTCAATGACTTTAATTCCCATCAGAAACTTATGTGCATTTTACTAATGACCTTAAAGACACCAAGTGTTGCAAAAGTATTAAAGAAGCCAGAACTTGGTGAGATTTCTGTGTTGGGGGAGGTGTCAGACTTAATTGTTCTGGTATCTCTAACACTGGTTTTTATTAACATTTACATATTTTTCTAGAATATGCTTTTAAGGCCATAAACCAAGGTGGACTTACATCTGTAGCTGTTCGTGGGAAAGATTCTGCAGTAATTGTAACACAGAAGAAAGTACCTGTAAGTAGTCTGGTTTTGGGTGTGGGGTGGACTGGAAGGAGATGAGAAAAAAGGTGCAGGGGATAAGACTCTGATATGATATTTATTAGCATTGACCTATATTGCTGCTTGGATTGATTATCTTACCGTCATTCTGTTTATTACAAGTTCTAGCTCCATTTAGTTCTCAACTGTATGTTTCTTTACTAAGAACTGTAGTACTGGTTTTCTCTATAGTTGTAGGAGGGATGAAGCTAAAACACGAAGTTGGTCCTGCTGTGCATTAGCATGCATACATTTCTCTGGCTTGTAAGGGCTGTAAGGTCCATAATCAGTTTCATGATTTCTTGAATTCCCACTCGGACAATGTTGTACCAATAGCATGTAGAACTATTTCATGAGTGTTTCAGCAGAGTGGTGATGTGGGGTTGACAAAGTGGGGAAAACCTTGTATTTAAAGGACAGCATGCAGTAAGAGCTGTCATGGTTTAAGCCCAGCTAGCAACCAAGTACCACACAGCTACTCACTCACCCTCATCCCCTCCCCAGCCCCCAGTGGGATGGAGAGAATTGGTAAAAAAATGTAAAAACTCATGGGTTGAGGTAAGAATAGTTTAATAATTGAAAAATAAAAGTAAAATATAATACAGTAATTACAGGAAATAGAGAGAGGAAGGAATAAACCCCACCCCCCGACGAAGATGCCCAGCTTTATCTTCCCTATTCTCCTGTTTCTTCTTTTCATGCCTACAGCAGTAAGTAGTGGTGGGCCTGAAATACAATTTTTAGCTGTTAGTTCATGTTTTTGGGCTCTTGTGTAGATACCAGAGCATTCCAAGTCTGTTTTTTAGGGCTGGTTGGTTTGGTTTTTTTTTCACTCAAAGGACAGTGTTTTCTATTAGATTATTTCTGTTTCAATTTTAGGACAAGTTACTGGATTCCAACACTGTGACTCATTTATTCAGAATTACTGAAAACATTGGCTGTGTGATGACAGGAATGACAGGTATTTATTTCACTATCTTTAAGTATCTGAAGCGTGTAGTTTGCCAACTTTGCATCACGTAAAACAAATAAGTGCTCTAGGAGATTTGTTCCACTCTGTCTGGTTTTGGAAAACTTATCTAGTTCTGATGTGTGTATGTAAAGATGACTTAAGATTGACCCTGGAATCTGCATTCTCAAGCAATGCTAGGAATAAACATGGTACATGTTCAGTGAAATTAATACTGGTTCTTTCTGTCTAGCTGACAGCAGATCTCAGGTTCAGAGAGCTCGCTATGAGGCTGCTAACTGGAAGTACAAGTATGGCTATGACATCCCTGTGGATATGCTGTGTAAAAGGATTGCAGATATTTCTCAGGTCTATACGCAAAATGCTGAAATGAGGCCTCTTGGTTGCTGTAAGTATAGTGTATGAAATTAATCTTTTCTGTTTCTTGTCTAAGCTTGCAACTTAAAGGATAAGGCATTCTCACCCATTTTCAAATTGTGCAAGATACAGATGTAACTGAAGAAGTAGGAGGGACAAACAGCCAAATGAGAGAGCAGTGTTGGAAGTCTTGAATCAGAACCATGATTTTGCCATTGAATCAGCATTTGAATTGGAGTAAATGATTTAGCATCTTTAAAATGTGCGATCTGATTTCACCTTGGCTTCTGGGGCTGTGCTTGTGCAGGTTTTCTGCATGTATAGGACAAAAATCTGCATAACTTTTGCTCTTAACCATGATATATGTAATGTAGAGAAATGCTTAAAAACATTTCACACGCAAGCATTTCTGCATCCATCTGGTTTAATAACAGCAGATGCAGCTTATATTAAGCAGATGTGTGCAAAGCTGGTTTTTGTAGGTATTCCTGGTCAACTGTGTTTTCTGAGGTTGTTTCTGACTTGTTTTTTGTCCTACATTTGGCTGTCAGCAAGTTATAACTGTACTTTTAGGCTGTCCAGGAACTGAGCTAAAAGACCTAGTGCTTCCTCAATTACATTTTCATTTAACATTCTATCTGGGTTTCTTTTTGTTTGCTTGGTGGGGTTTTGTTGTTTTTTTTTTTCCCCCCCGGCGAAGTGGAATAGTTTCAGAATTGATGAATCACTTCTTGTAATCATGGTAGGCACCAGCACTTCTCACTACAGAAGTAACGGTCATGGTCACACCACGGTTTCCATGATGGGGCAATTTTCCTATGTTTGTAATGTTCAGGAATGATTGTTTCTTTCTTCCCATGGCATTTCCCCGTGCCTTCATACTACTGGAAAATGATTTTTGGTGGTGTGTGTTGTTTGTTTTTTGGGTTTTTTAAATAGATGACTAAAATTGGCTTTTTCTTAACTTTCCTTAAGGTTTTTTGAAAAGATGCTGGGAAATTGTTTTTCTGTTGTAGTAATGAGCTGCTCAGAAGCTTATCAGCTGTAACTACTAGTTAAAAGTTTCACAAGTGTAAAGCAAAAATAATTTAAAACTTTGATTCTGTTACGGGATTTTTTTTATTGTTGTTTTACTTTTGAGTTATTTTTAACGTGCATATTGAGACTATACAACTGTAAATCTAGAAGTGTGGGTGAACACAGATGCATTTCAGTGATGTGGCCAGTTCTTCACATTCAACTTAAAGCACTTAATCAGATGGTCTTCAAAGGCTCAGTTTTAAATTCTTTTATTTCCACATTCCGCTGTTTTTCTGTATTTTTTTTTTTTCCCCTTTAAAGAAGAGAGGAAACGGGATGTAATGCAGCGCTTCTCGGGATGGCAATCAAGAAATCTAAAGCTGATCTTTTAATATTTCCCTTAGTTTCAACATATTTGTAAAGTTGCTTTCTGTTAGAAGGCACATGTTAATAGAACTATTGTTTACACTTCTAAAAAGTGTAGTATAGTAAGCAGGATGTGAACTGTGGCTGGGTTAACTTTGTATTGGGGTTAAATTTTTGTACTTCTGGACTTTGTGGTTCTCTACACACATGGCAAAACTGTTCCTGCATTTAATGAGGAGCCTTCTTTGGTAATAAGAGAAGTGTAGTTTGCGCTAAATGAAGTTGCACAGCTGGTAAGAAGATGATGGTAAGAAATGGCAAATTGGAGATAAAGAGGAAATCACAGCTCTAAGTATGGGATTGGTTCCCAAAAATGTACTGCCGTGCATGCACGATTTTCACAGGAGGGGAATATGTAGTCTGTTCTTCAGCTTAATGAAATTGCTAAAATTGGGGAGAGAAATAATTTAACGTATTTTCTCTTCAAGGTATGATTTTGATTGGTATCGATGAAGAACACGGCCCTCAGGTATACAAGTGTGATCCAGCAGGTTACTACTGTGGATTTAAGGCCACAGCTGCAGGAGTTAAACAGACAGAGTCAACCAGTTTCCTTGAAAAGAAAGTAAAGAAGAAATTTGATTGGACTTATGAACAAACAGTAGAGGTAGGCCAGCAGAAGGAAATAAATATCTGTTAAGTATGTTTAATGAATATGCTGTATGTAGGCTTTTGATGTAGAGGAATGCGGTTAGGCATTTCCTGTTTTCCTACAGTTCTGTATTGCTGCCAGAGCAAATATAGCTACTCTAACCAGAAAATCTTTTGAAGGTTTTGCAGATATTTGAATGGTCGTCAAATCTGCTTTACGTTAGCTGAAGCAGAATCTATAATTGTAGCACTTCCACTGTAGCTGGTGGTTGGTTACTACAGTGCTTGATTCTGGGGATACCAGTGCGATTTCCATCTAGTAGCACTTAAAACAGTCATCGCATTAGAAAGCATTTCAAACAGGAAATGCTTGTAGTAGCGGTAGCGCTTGTCTGTCAGTTTAGTAAACATAACAGTTCTCACAGTAAGCATAACAGCTGGTGTTGTTCAGGCCCCATTAAAAAAATATCTCACTTATAAAATAGGCCAATTAACTGATTTTATATATCATCCTTAATTTTTGACTTATACTGTAGAAATCTGTCTAAACAGTCCTTTTCCGTGGCCTACCTGTTTCCCCTGCCAGGCCTTGTTGTTCTCTCATAATGTTATTTCCTGCATCACGAGATCAGCAGTTGAAATACAGAATAACAACCTAGCAACTGATTCCTCTGTAAGATTAAACAGAGAATTGTATTGAGATCCCTGTGAGTGCTCTGCAGATTTAGACCTTCAACTAAATATTTGTGAAATCTACATTACTGTGAAAGTACCATTTAACCAGAAAGTTTTCAGCATAAATTCATAAGGTTTAAGTGTGTATAATGTATTTGCAATTACTTCAGAGATCCTTTCTTATCCTGGCTAAATATTTTTCACATTAAATGTATACTTTTCCATCACTGCTTGATTATATTGTGCATGTCTCTTGTTGAGCAGTCGGAGATAGATGAAACAGTCTTTCCATATTCTTGTTTTTAATGCATACAACCTCCATGGTATGGCACAAATGCCTGGTTGGTAATTAATCTGGCAGTCAAATCCTGGATGGGCTTCTCTACCTTTTGTTGTCTTTGTAAAAGTGCTGAGATTGTGAATGTAGATCAGACACTATTACTGTCAAAGTTGGCAGTGACAGCGAGAAGCAAGTCTCAAGCAGAAAAAAGAATCACGTTTTTGTTGTGTTCTTTGCACACACACACAAGCTGCCTTTTTTTTTAAAGCTTGTGGTGCAGTAGAGGTACTGCTCCAAGGGTAAGAATTCTGTTTGGGTTTTTTTTAGTTTAGTGGGGCTTTTTTACAATTTAGCAATCTTCTGATAATACGTCTATATAGTCTTGTAGAATTATTGCAGAATCAATGTATAATCATCATGTTGAAAATAAACTTCATCTTGTCTGGTGTTCTACACTTACTAACGCTTTGCTGATCAGAATTAAATGCCAGCATGTCAGAATAACTGATTTTATAAGCATCTAACTAGATAGCTGTTTTATGGAACTTCTTTTTGTGCTCAATCATCATTTTAAGAATACATCTTTAGCTTTATTATGACCCTACTGCAGGGTTAAGTATGAGCAAAGTTACAAAGAACATCCTTTAAAACAGGTCATGATTAGGGTGCAACAAAAAATAAGTTAAGCCATGATGAAATGCAGCTTTTAAAAACAGCCAACATAATTTTAGTTACCAGAAGAAAACGCCAAAATGGAAGCTACACAAGTGACATGTGCTTTGAGTAATTTTGGACTGTAATGCTAATGTCTGTCTTATTTCCCACTAATGAAACGTGTTCTCTCTTTGGGACCTGGGCTTTTACTCTTTGCATGACAGAAGATTTGGGTTTTGTTGTGTGGGGTTTTTGTGCAACGAAAATGACATGTCCCTTTGTTTTTTGTAGATTGGGCTTTTTAGGGAGAGGACTGGAGCGGGACTGTATTTATGTAACAAGGGGAGACCATCTGAAACTTTTCAGCTAAGGTTTCAAGGTGGAAGGAAATAACTTAAAAACTAGAAGGAAGGGTAGTTGTTAATGCTATGTCTATTTAAAAAAACCCAAAACCTTAGTGCTTTCTGTTTAATGATAGGGGCTTTTGTCATTTTTCAGACAGCAATAACGTGCCTGTCTACTGTACTATCCATTGATTTCAAACCTTCAGAAATAGAAGTTGGTGTAGTTACAGTGGAAAATCCTAAATTCAGGTAAGTGATCAGTGTTATAAAACTTGGTGTGTTTCTTCAGTTACGTGCAATTAGTTTGAACTTCTGTGTAATGGTAAATCAAGAAAAAAGGGATAAATGTCAGAAGCTGACGTTTTGGAGGATTTTTCTTGTAACTTTTCAAAACGTGTAGGTTAAAAACCAAACAACACAGAACACATCTTTAAAACGTTTGACATGGTTAAAGGATGTCAACAAAAGTGTTGTTTCTTAAAAGAGTATTGCTTTATGTGACAATTAAAATGTAGTTACATCTGATATAGATGATTTTTCATGCTTAAAAGAATAAAAATTTTTCTTTGTATTAGTATTTGGAGTCCACTTCCAAATCATAGTCATGACAACTAACACAGTGAAGTCTGTTTTGTATAGGGAAAATTTTGCAAGTCCCTTAATTTTTTTAATCCTTTTCTAAATGGGATCTTTAAATGACTCTTGCTTGTCTTGTAACTGCAGCAGTTTTTAACATCTCCAGTATATAGTTAATAGATTCTGAATTTGTATTACTTGAAGTGCTATAGTTATTTGTCAAGTTTAAAAGATCCTGGGTTTAAAAATCACTGCAGTGGTATGAAACTGTCTTGAGCTTCTTCTTTCTGAGTACACTGCATTCCCACCTAGCATGGAAGCACGATGCCTGCAGTTTCCTCCCTCCCCTGTTACTGCCTGAATCTGAGTGCAGCAAGCTTACTTGGTCAGTCTATCAAGATGGCACCTGGAAATCTTGCTGCTGAGGGCTATACCTCATATCAGATACAGTGTACTTGACAGCCTTCTCACAACACAATGTATAGCTGCAGGAGTATGCATGAAATGTGGGATGATACATTTCTGGGCTTTTTTGTTAATGCAGAAAGACTTTCTAGGTGTGTCTTGCCAAAAATTTAGGTAAATCTGGCTTGCTGCAGAGGAGTGCAGTTATTTCTGCCTTAGCTTCTTGTTTATTATTATTATTATATTTTTTAATGTGTATTATATTTTAAAAATTGAGAGGGACAGCTAAGTGGAGAAGAAAAGTCCTCTGCTGCTTTAGTCTAGCTACTTGGTAGGTGGGAACTGGAGAGAGGCTTCAAAGCTTTGGGTCTTGCAGGTGCAGTCTTTTGAGTGCTTCCTAATGTGTTTAAAGTTGCCATGGTGGTGACAGGTGGTTTTGCATTTGTTGTGTTCAGACAGCAGAATAGCATATTTGTTTCTTGGTTGTTTTTTTTTGAGAAAGCATGCGTACTGCTGCTTAAGGGTCAAGTGCTAGCTTTCTGGCAACCTTCACTTAGCAGTCTATGTCCTTTTCAGAAAGGATGGGTAACAAGTAGAGGGAGAAAGCTATGAAAACATATGTCCCCCCCTTGGAGTATAATACTAATTACCATAGCCGTTCTTCTCACAAGGTCCCAGCTTGCAGGTATGTTAGTCATAAGGAATGAGGAATGTTGGTTTTTTACCATTTGTTACCTCTTTGCTCTCTAGTGCCTTTGATTCTTCCTTTATTTTTCAAAAAGAATTGGAATGTCAGCCTGTGGCCTTAATAGCGGGTCTTTAAAGGGCTGAAAGATGCACTGAGTATAACTTACTTGTGTAGGTACTAGGTTGTAATATTGGAGCTCGCGGGGAAGAATCATTTAAGCTGTTTAAGATTTCATTTTGTTCTTTCAGGATCCTTACAGAAGCAGAGATTGATGTGCACCTTGTAGCTCTGGCAGAGAGGGACTAATTAGCATTCCCATTTCCATTGTCTGTGCTTCTGGCCAGGATATTTGGTGAAACGAAAACACTTATTAATGGCTTTAGATTATGGGTGGAAAACCATGTTCACTATATGATGTATTTTACTCTGTACAAATAAAACAGAGGTTTTTGAAATACTTAGTGTCTCCTTTTAATGTAATTTTTTTTAACTTTTGGTTCTATGAAATTATCAAAATGCTTCATGACTTCGAATGTTTCTGTGATGATTACTTGCTTTTTAGTTGTATTTTAGGATAAATACTATACTCTACACTGTATTTTTCATCTGAGCTATTTGGCTTCTAGTGTGAAGTTTTATATCAGATTATGTGGTGTGTGTGTGTCTTGAGAATTCTTACATTGACATGTATTCTCTTCTTGTCCTGATCCTGAAAGGCTTGTAACATTACTGGTTTAACTGTGGGGAAATTAAGAAGATTCTTAATATTTGCTCAAGTCTGTATGTGGATACAGTTAAAGGAGAAAACCTGAGCTTCGATTCCCAGTGCATTCCTTTAAACTGATTTATTTGGGGTGCAGGTAGCGAATTTATCAGACATCAGCTATTAAGAGCTTTGAAGCTAACATTTATTTAGGGATTGTATATGTAGTATCCTTTCGAATTTTGGCTGCCTGTCACCTACCTGGTTTTGAGGCTTCGGGCAGTGCCAAAACGATGTTGGGGCTGGACGGGGCTGATAGACAAAGTCCATCAGCACGAATGTGCCTGGAAAGCAACTCCCCTTGCCCCTTCAAAGTTCTGGGTTAGGAGAAAAGAGAAGACTGCAAAAATCTGAGTAAAGGTGAAAAAAAAATGCAGTTTTGTTTTGCTGAAACTCAAGAGGTTTCAGTCTAAGCAGCAAAAGGGAGACGAAGTTGTGAGGAACGAGGTACTGAGGAGAAAGGGAAGATTAGTAGGCATTTTTAGCTGTTGGGTAGACGTGGGAGTCATCTTGGAAGAATGCCAAGCTAGTAGGACTTCTACCTCCTTACCTTCAGTCCTGTCGTGCTATTTCTATATTTGTTTTAATTACTTCAAAATTCTCTTTGATTTTCTTTTTTTTTGAGACCTTTGGGGAAGGTTATCAGAAACTGGGATTACTTGATTATTTTTTTTATTGCTTTACAGTTAAAGCCCCTTGAATGTATATTTTTCAAGTTCATTGGAGTAAAGGAGATGTAATTCTGTATTCAGTGGCTTTAATAAAAGATAATGCTAACCTTATGTGATAACTGAGTTGAGGAGACTCAAATGTATTGTGAACTGTTGACTTTACAAAGCTTCCTGAATTTCCATTAGTGCCTCCAAATTTGAGCTTCCCTCATATCAGATAGTGTAGTATAGGTGGTAAGGTGAAGCCTTCCTTGCTTCTGGTTTTGGGTTGGTTATCTGCAAATTCTGTGTGCTTTTGTGCAACAGTTGGCAGAACTAATGGCACATTTGGAAAGGTCTCTCTGTTGGTGACTGCTGAAACTTCCTAGGATCTTTCTTCCTAATACTGCAGTCATACAGCAACAGGGAATTTTAGTAGATTTAAGTCATCATTTACTCTGCTGTAAAATATAGTCCACTGATACTTTGTTCTTGATCAGCTTTAATTATATGTGTGAAACTTCACTAATGACTTCTCAAACAAAACAAATGAAAAGGAAGATGACAATCAGGGAGCTGTATGACTAGAGCACGTTTGCATAGTATTTAGTAACTAAACACCCTGCAATGCCTTTAATTCTAAATTCTGGAGCTTGTATGTGATTGTATAACTCAGGTGCTGGTTCTGAGAGCAATGGGTGTTTGTTCATACCTTACACTTTTGCAATACAGAACATCATATTTTGTGTTCAGAGATGATGAAATAAGCTGTCTACAGTATATTAGTTTGGTATGTTATATCCTGATTTAATAAGCAAAGTTAAAATTGCAGCAACGGAAAGGCCATTTTTGCTTGTATACTGTCCTATAGTGGAAATTCAGTTTTCTTTTCATATTAATGATGGGGCTTTTCCTTTTCCAGTCAAAGGGTTTTGTTGTTTTAAGATAAGGCAGCTGTGCAGATGGGGATACCTGACCTAATGGGAAAACCCCGTGTATTACACACACATATGATCGCATTCCTCACACCCTGGAGCAGATAACACCTGCAACCCTATTGTACCAGCCGTGGCTGGTGTTGAACTGTGCCTGGTATCACCTGCTGTTCCAAACCTGGCACTTGCAGAGAAACAAGAGTATGTATGATGTGATCCTCATGCTTCTGGTTTGGGTAGAGCTTATCAAAAGTGATACCAGACTTGGGCTCACTCCATGTATTCATGGTTTGTTTGCCAGTGCTGAAGACTCTGGAAGGTGCAGTTACAGTGTGAATGCACAAGCAATTAAGCAGGAATAGAATCAAGTCTTATTTGCATATAGACCCAGTTCAGTGTTAATCTGTACTAAACTTGGGCTGGCTCTGCATAGCCTTGTAACTGTGTCCACGTTACATTCCCAGTGCTCATTATTTGAGGTGTAGAGTGTAAGGATGCAAATGCCAGGTACATGCAGTCAGCTTAGGTAATCAGTGTTTGATGGAGTATGTGAAAAGCAGCTGAATTTCTTATGAACAGCCCTACCCACCCTCCAGGGTTGCCCCAGAAGCAGTAATGGGCAGGTGTTAATAGACAGAAACTGCTTAATAGGGAATCTTAACATAAATAGTCTGTGGGTCATCAGCAGCTGTCCGTCTGTTCATCCTGGGAACAAAAGATGTTAAGGGAGGCAG